TGTAGGTCAAGTTCATCAAATTATATCAGATTACTCTTTTTTTCCTCTTCTTTCTTCTTCTGGTTGAGCTCTGATCATCCATTCATTGAAGCCAGGTCAAGTGGGTATTATCTGCAAGAGTGGGTTCTTGTGCATATACCCTCTCTTATCAGCTGAACACTTCACTTTCCACTCTAGTCCTCTGTGGCTATGTCACTGACTCTGGGCCCAAGAGTCCCCAGGTCTTGTCACACTGCTGGCCAACCAGCTCTCCACCCAGGTTCACAGGAGTCTATTGAACATTGTAGGGCCTTTAGTAGCTTTTTGGAGAAAAGGATGCAATTTTTTAGGTATAGACTTCTAGGTTGTAAATAATTCTCATTCAATAATTTTAAGGCATTATTGCATTGTCATTTTGCTTCCATTGTTACTTAAAATCCAAAAATGTTCTGATTTCTCATCTATGTTTGCTGTTCTATTTACTGTATTTTTCTCTATGGGAATTTATAGAATCTTTTTTCCCATAATATTGTCTAGTGGTGTTCCTTGGTATAAATCTGTTCTCATATCTGTTCATTGTTCCATGTGGAAGCTCTTACCTGTAAATTCTAGGAAATCTTTATTTCCAGTGCTTGATTCTCTTCTACCCATTGTCTCTTTCTTTTCAGAACTCCTAGTATTTCAGTTGGGACCTCCTGGACTGGTTCTCCCCCTTTCTCTCCTGTTGTCTTTCTCTGTCCTTTTGTTCTAGACTTCAGAAGGTTTCTTTATGTATAGCTTTCAAGCCTTTTATTATACTTTTCATTTCTACCATCGTGTTTATAATACCTAAAAGTTCCTTTTAGTTCTCTGCTCCTTTTTTTGTTTCATAGATATAATCATTTAATGATAATTTGTCTTATTTTCCCTGTAAAGTCGGTTTCCTCTAAGTTTTTTTTTCCTGTTTTGTTCTTTTTGCTTCTTGAGGCTTACTTCAGGTGTTTGGTAATTTGCTTATGCTTGGATGTGGAAACTAAAAAGCTCTGTTTATAAGGATGGGGCTTTGACTTTGAACTTCATTGTAGGTTATCTAGGCATTTGTTAAACTGATGTCAGTATCATTTTCTTTTTAATCTGGTTAGACTTCTTAGAGAAGAGTCTTCTGATCTCTAATGGGTAAAGGGTCAGCTGTCTCTAGTGGGAAAGGAGGGTTGTTGGTGGAAAGGAATAGTGCTTTTGGCATTCAGAATGTATATATGTTCACTTAATTCCCTTATTTGAAGAGTGTGACTTTGTAGGATAAGCACTGGACTTCAAACCACTAGGTCCACAGTCTGAGCTCACCCACTGCTCCTTGAGAGACAGATGAGGCTTTCTGCCCTGGTGAAGATTTACAGCCTCAGAAACCTACACAGGGTCGCTTTGTGTCGGAACCCACTGGACAGCACGTAGCAACAACAGTTCCCTTATTTATAACATTACTGCTCATGTCCTCAACTATTTCTGGAGTACCTCAGTTCAGAAACTTTGTTTTTCCCTCTGAAGAGAATAAACATCCAGATTTCTGGTGGGAGAAGTGCTGTTGCCTGGGAAGCATAGGGTTGGGGAGGGGAACTAGACTCTGTTTCTCAGACAGTTTTCACCCTCTCCTCCTTATTTTAGCTCCCTCACCTACCCACCACTCATATCCAGTTTCAGAAGTGCCTGATTTTTAAGGATTTTGTATCACAAATCATAAACTCAGCTTCACAAACAGTTTAGGATTACACACTCTTGGATTCACTGAGTCAATTGCTATTTGCTTATCTTCTTTCCAGTTTAAAAAACTTGTAGTGCTGTTTTCTCATCTCCCATTCTTTTCTTTCTTGTGTGTGTGTGTGTGTGTATATATATATATATATTTTTTTATTTTTATTTTTTTAATAGTATACTTAGAGGAGTTTGGAAGGATGTACAATTGTCCAGTTTACTGTATTGGCTGTTTTAACTTACAAGCACTGATTAGCTTATAGAGCCATACTCACCTTAGGTAGGCAGAGTCACCTTTGACAGAGCTTTGACATAAAAGACAGACCAAATGAAACAACCTGGAAACAAGATAA